CCCTCCTCCCTCCTCCCTCCTCCCTCTCCCTCCTCCCTCTCCCTCCTCCCTCCTCCCTCCTCCCTCCTCCCTCCTCCCTCCTCCCTCCTCTCCTCTCCCTCCTCCCTCTCTCTCTCCCTCTCCCTCTCCCTCCCTCCCTAGAAACTTTCGGTGCTCTGCATGGCTGACGTGGGTGTGGTATGAGCTTCTCCGAATGATTCAAATCGATTTCAACCTACTGTGAGACGCCGGCGCGGGCCGGGCCGGACTGAACCGTTGAACTCGTGAGTGACTCAACTTTCAAGTGCTGAGCTACCGTAGCTAGCCGGTCCGGTCAGTAGACTGACTCGTCAGACTCCCGGACCGGCTGGCAGTGACCTTCACGTCACAGACACTGGCGTGCGACTGGGAGGCCGAAGGCCACTGCCACATGATGGAAGCAACCGTGAGTTGCCAACTTCATTGTATCATTCAAGTTGTATCATATTACAGTACTTGCCTTGCTAAGGCTCAGAGTAGACGAGAGCTCACAGGAGCCGCATGCTTCCTCGCTCTCTCCGACCTGATCTGGCTGATGTCCTCCAGCACACCCCACAAGGTTGGGACCTGCCAAGGAGGTTCAGCAGCAGCGGCCGCTTGAAGCAGCAGCAGGCCTGGCGGATGAGTGGCCAAGCGTCGTCGAAGGAGAGCTCGAGCAGCTCGCATCGCTCGATGGCTCTGATATCTGCCATCCTCACGCACCTGCCATTCACTCAGAGCGCCTCCGCAGCCTCACTCGACGCACCTCTTCTGGATGACAGCCAATGGAACCCCTGCCGCCTTCATCTTGCACATATTCATAATAGCCACCTGCTCCTCCTCTCAGCCTCCCCTCTGCCTCTCGACTCGTATCCGAACCTCCCCGAAACATCCTCCTCTATCAATCCGTTCGATCTGCATGCTCATTCACTCTGTTGCCTCAAGAGACACCATTGCAGCAGGAAACATTCTCACCTCCAAGCCATTCAGTTGGCACGAACATGCCCCGCTAACAACAAAGTACATGGAGTTGCCCTGCAGTCGATGGTTGCTCGACAGGTTGGTGTAGACAAATAAGCACAAACCTGATCTCCCTTTCTCGTCAGGAAGTTCCCCGACTGTACGGTCCTGTTGATCCGTCACCGAAGCACTGAACCGCACGGGCCTCCGTCACCTCGGAACCATCTTCCCCGCTAGAAGCCTGACGACTTCGACATCCACGTCCACCCCTGCCTCTCGTCAGACCCAAGTGATGTGCGGCCACCGGGCCAGACCTGCGAGGGAGAAGAATTCCGACACCACCTCTGATCACGCGTCAGGTCACAGGCCGAATGTGCACAAGGCTCACGTTGTGAGACAGACGAGCCTGGGGCAAGACGAGTCAGCAAGACGGTAGGGGGGAGCTGGACCTCTACCTCGCTTTCCTTCCTTCTGAGGAACATCCGAAGTATCCCGACTCTTTTGCAAGGCAGATCAGCAAGCGAAGAGGAATCTCCCATGCAGTACATTGGTTCGCGACAGGTGAGGACGGACTTCTATGTAGCGGACGATACCGAGCGCAAGAGTCTGCAGCCGTCGTTGAGCTCTTGAGAGGGGCCCGATGCGTCTGACCTCAAGCAGGAGCATGTCGTCCAACCGGGGCCCATCTCGTGGGATTGTGTCCGCAACACAAAGGCATCCGATCGCGTGCGAGGTTCCTCCTCGCATCACCGACAAGGGAGCTCCGACATAGAAGCGAATGTAAGGATCCTGAATGCACGAGAGACAAAACAGTCAGGCGCAGCGATCTAGGCTCAGCAAGCACTCCCGTACCCCATGCACGATGTTGTTGTACTTGAACCGCTCGTCGGTCATGGTATCGCTGATCCATAGGGACGAATCCTTCAACATGCAATCAGAGGAAGATGAGGATGAGCTGATGGACCTCTTGCAAGATGGTGTATGCACACAACGAGATGTCTCGATCCATCTGTCGCAGAGAAGTTCCCGCCTGTCATGTGACCAGTCAAAGATTGCTCGACGACTTCCCGTGACTTCACCTTGGCCTTGAACCAGCACCTGTTCTGATCCACCAACGAGATGAAAGCCATCTTTACACCAAACGTCTTGCGGGCTGCGGATCTGTCTTACAACCAGGCAAACTCTTGGGATTCCTCACCTATTTCTACCACCGTGTCCATCAGACTGTCGTTGGGAGTATCGAGTAGATCCTGATCGTACAGGACCTAGGAACAGTCAGCTGCTTCGAGTGATGGTCGACCAAATACCTTCAGCCTCTCATCCTCATTCGCGGGCTTCGGGGGAATGCGATGAAGAGGATGCCAATCTGAAGGAGACGGGCATGCTTTCAACGACACCCACCAAGTGACACCCCACACTCACTCTTGCCCAGCACATCGTGATCAGCCCAAATGTCGTCTGATAGTTCGTGTATGTCCATGCTCCTTCCATAGAATTCGATGTCAGCCTCCAGGATTGACATTCGTCTACACTCACTCGATGCGGGCACAGAGATCACCTACTTCAGCTACTGACTTGTGCTGTCGAGACTCTGATGATGCGGATCAATGATATCGAAGGTTCGAGGAAAAATCTCAAGCATACCTGACGAGATGTCTTCATCCTTTTGTGGCATTTCGACAGCGCCTGCTGTCTCAGACTCTGCTGCTTGAGCCACTTTGCAGCAATGTGACGGTATTACTTTCAACTCACAGGTTTCCCCTCCTTCAATCGGATTGTCTCTTGAACAGGATGATCTCTCTCTTCTTCACTTGTTTCCTGCTGTCTTGACGTCTTGTCTTCTTCTCCTTCTTCTCTCAACTAGCCTCTGCTCCCCGTTCGGTTCTTCTTGCCATAGAACCACAAGTTGTGACCCTGTGACACTACCCCACCCTTTCACTTTTAAATGACCCCCTATTTGACTGGTACCCTAACACACCTCCTTTTCCCCGCTAAAATCACCCCACCGGTCATGTCGGCGCTTCTCTACCACCTTCAAATTCACTCAGTCAAATTATCACCCGTCCTTTTCCGTCAATTGTACCCCTTTTCTTCAGGGTCCCACCCCCACCCACCCCATAGAATGGTAATTGCGCGCAAGGGGCTCATAACCTGAATAAATCATTGCCATGGCTCCACCTGGCCACCATCATGGCACTGCAGGTCCGGGCCGGGCCCGGCGGCGACTGAGTGCCGGAATCATCACCGTGCCAGGCTTCCGAAGTTCAGGTATTGGAATCAATTCCTGACTCCTAGAGTCTGTGCACAGATGAATGACTAGTAGAACAGCTCAACAGCTGACTGATAAGTCCAAAGACCAAGACTCACAGATGATGTGCGCACGAAGACACCAATGACTTTCACAGCCAACCAAACACCTCAGATAACTCAGATCAACTTCCCAACAATCCCCAGCACTTTATTCCCAACACTCGTAGCAGCAAGACCAACCAAACAGCTTCCCTTCACACACCACCGCCTTACTTCCACCACTGTACGAGTGCAGCCTCTTCGACAGCCGGCGCCTCTTGATTCCTCCGGCGCCGCCTCAGCTTCCCCAGGCTCCAACCAACCGGATCTTCTAAGTCACAGACTAAGCTCCAGCCCACTAGCTTGGACCTGCAGGCTTCACTTGGTTCACAACCTGATTAGACGCATCCCTTGAACTTATCGCGTCTGAAAGAACTTCTGAGAGGTTTGTCAGAACCTGAGTTCTTACACCCTCCCTTTGGGAAGCAAGTCAGAAGTCTGCAACCTTCTCAGCTTGTCAAAATCATCTGCTTGACAGCTAAGCAGCTGTCCCCTGCGATGTCCTCCTTTCCAACGATCGCTCTAGCTTCTTGCAGCGTTGTCAGCTGCTCCCATCACCTGACCATCAACATCTTTCCCAAGCTGACTTCCATGCTGCTCTCCTCTCCAAGGTCATCTTGCTGCTACCACTCCATCAACCGTTCTGCACAGGCTCATCCCCCATCTTGCATGCCTCCTGCGCTCCTCCTTCGCTTCAAGTGTGCACCCTGGTACACCTGCGTTTCTCCTCCTGTGACACCTGCGCTCCTCCTCCGCTTGCGCTGCGGATGCAGTGCGGTCGCACCCCGCCAACAGTGCACCTGTGCTGCTCCTCCACCTGCGCTGCGGCTTCTCCCCACCATCGTAGGGCCTGCGCTGCTCCTCCAGCGCTTGCGCTTCAGCAGCACTCCTGCAGCACCTGCGCTGTCCTCCTCTAGCGCATCCTGAGGCTCGTGCACACGGGTTCCTCAGCTTGTACCATCCGCATGCCACAGAGACGCTCCTCATCCGCCTGCGCTGTCCGCATGCACCTGTGCTCCTCCTCACCTTCCATCATAAACTCTTCCCAGCTGCCTGCAGTGTCAGCTCAAGACTAAGTCCTGAACACATCTGCATCTTTCAAGTCAGACAGCTCCTCCTCCTCTTCAACCTGATCCTCATGATGGGATTGGTCATCATGTGACCTCTCTGAAGCTTGCGCATTGAGCAATGAAGACATCTCCACCCATTGATGATGCCAAGAATTTAGAATTCCGATCAAGCTCCAGAGATCAGGTTCAGAATTCTTGCAATGCATTGATTGATCTCTGATTGTTTTGAACACAATTTTCTCGTTTCTAATCTATGGGCCCTTTCTATCCTATCTACCCCGGGGATCATTGTTTTGCCAAGGCACAATCATTTTTGACGTCAGCGCTTTCATTTCAACCACATGACTTATCGATCTCGACTCATCCGTCATTTCTTTCTCAATTTTCATTTTTTTGGCCATTCAATTTCATCGTTCACTACCGTCATGGGTTCCATAGATCAGGATGAGCGAGTTTCTAAGATACTAACCTAGAACAGATGTCTTGGTTGCAGCTAGCCACAGGCTTGAGGAAGACCGTACGTGTCTGTCTTTATCCTCCTTCCGATTCATCCGATTCCTTCACGTTCTCCATGAGAGTCTCCTCGGTTTCATCACCCGAGACACCCTCCCTGAATCGGATAGAAGACGGAAGACTGACAATTCTCGAGCGACACGGACTCGGTGGCAAGGGTCCGAGACACCCTCCCTGAATCGGAGAAAAGACGGAAGATAAAGCCTGGAAGCCACCGCAGCAGGATCGGTTGAATCTCCCTGTCGGAGACTGGAGCTCGGATCACCGTCAATCACACACGGGGCATACAACTTTGGCGACTGACGGCATGGGAACAGAGTAGCACTGTCCCTGACAGAAGCGCAGAGAGCATGACAGGCGAGCATCCTCAGAGCAGCATATCCGGTAAGGGGTCTCCGAAGAGAAATTCACCAAGGAGCCTCCACCGATTCAAAGGCAGAACTTTCGTCAGCAAATCACCAGGCTGATAAGAAGTATGAATCTTTTCTGGATAGAGCTCGTCCTTTTCTACCAAATCAACAGCATACTTCGTTCGAATATCAATGTGTTTGAGTCGACTATAACTTCGCTTGTCCCACAAAAGCCTCAGACATGGTTCATTGTCGATTAGCAAGAGAGTAGGACGAGTCTGCGTAAATCCCATCTGACCCAAGAGATTTCTATAAAGCTTGACTAGTTTCGCGCATGTGGTGGCAGCATAAATTTCAGCTGCTGAAGAACTCAGGGCAACAACCTTCTGCATTTTTGAACCAAAGACGACTACCCCACCATTCAGAACGATTCCATATCCGCTTTGACTCCGTCTCGTAATAATCTCGGTACCCCAACCAGCATCACTGAATGCAATCATCTCATTTACAAAACACTCCTGGTGGTAAGATACTCCGTGACAATGGTATACGATCTGAACCTCCCGAGTAGTGTAAAGGTACTGTAGAAGATGAATTAAGGCATCCATATCGCACTGCCTAGGAGCCCGAGCAAAGCGACTAAGGACGCTCGTCGCGAATGCGATATCAACCCGCGTACAATTTGCCACGTAGAGAATGGACCCCAGAAGACTCTGATAAGTGCGGACTTCCTTCTTGTTCAACAACTTACCCTCCAAGTGATAAGTCTTGAGATAGTGACCAGGTAATACCGTTTTTACACCTCTGGCAACGATTTCAAAGCGTTCAACAATCTTTTCAATGAAATGCTGTTGTGACAAAGTTATCCGACCCTGATCGTCATTCTGTTCTATTTTAATGCCCAAGAAGGTACCTGTTGCCTCACTCCCCGAAAAGTCGAATACTGTGTTGAGCTTCTCAAGAAACTCAATCTTAACTGCTTCAGTTTGAGAGACAATGAGTAAGTCATCCACGAAGACAGTCAGAAGCAAGACGTCCCCCGCACAGTTGGAGTATCGGTAGATGATCTCATCATGTCCTATCCCACTTGCTCCCACCGTCTTCAACACCTGCGTGAACTTAAGATACCATCTCCTTGGTGCAATGCGAAGTCTGGCATAGAGCGACTTCAAGACTTTGAGGAGGCACTCAGGAGGAAGACTCATGATATCTGGAGGAATCAAATACACAGGAACCTCCAAGTCACCATACAAGAAAGCAGCAGAGATATCCCTGAATGTGATTCTCCAACGGTTGCCTGCCGCGATGCTCAGCAAGAGCCGGATATTGTCCAACGATGTAGTCGGTGCAAACAATTCTTCAGATGAAGGAAGTAAGTTGCCCATGATAACTAGCCGCCCCTTTCGTTTCAAGATCTTGCCCTTCAAGTCTCGTTTTGAAGCATACACCCACAAGGCGCGAGCAAGTACAGAATGATTTGACTCCCTGTTTTTCTGATCACGCGTAACAACTTCCCAGACCCCACGACTTTCGATCTTCGCAATTTCCTCCTTTTCAGCCTGCTCCCAAAGATGCCGATCCGGACGACGTAACATCTCTGACCTTGTCTTGGGATCTGGTAACTTGTCAAAACTACTTTCGTTCTCCACATCTCCTGCATCGCAAGCCGCTGTCATCGCGTAATCTGCCTGATTCTCAGGCATTGCAGCTGGATTGTCACGGTCGGAAGACATCAGAGATAACAGGTCAGACGCCAGCTCCACCGCGTCCCATACGGGAGAGACCAACGCTAGATTCGCCACAAGAAGACGCGTATCCCTGAAAGTAGGGTCCACATTAGCACTGACCTGTGGGGCAGATGACACAGGATCGACATGCTGTAAACGAGTTTTGTACATCTCATCCCTCCATACTGGAACAAAACGCTGGGATGCTGGCTGAAGGCTTGTCCTGTCTTCCCCCCTGTCCCAAACATACAAGATCTCTTCAGATTCAGTCGACCCCTGCACAATATGTGTAACTTGCAGATACTGTGGAAATTTCTTGTGCTGGGAAAGTACAACCACTTCAGGCGAACCCCCAACTGTAGCTTCGACAACATCCATGATCTCATCCGCTGCACGATCAAGACAGGGTTTAAAAACCTTGGTATGGTCGGTCATATCACCAAAGACGTTCGGTGGAAAGCTGCACGAGTCTGACTTGGGTCACTCTGTCCGACAGCACGGTAGTCACGGCCCGCCGGGTGGCGCGACGGCGACTCAATCGCGCATCCTCAGTGACTCGGAGCTCACTGAGTGGCAGCGGCCCGGGCCCAGCGATCTCATCGGATCGGATCAGTGGGGCGACCGTGGGTGCCGTTTTGAAGTTTTGCTTGTCGGGCTACAGAGTAGCAGTGAGGGGGTAGGGGTACTGAATCATAGTGACCGGTGATATGATTTGATGTGTCTATGATGAGGTGGGGGTAGTAAAAGGAAGAAAGGGGTGGGTCAATGCCTTGCAACAGGATGATCTTGCGACCCATGGGGAGTGTGGGAGGCAAGGCGAGGAGGGACAGCAAGCGAAGATGAGGAGAGGGAGGGAGAAGGAGAGCGAGAGGAGACGGGAGAAGAAGGAGAGAAAGAAGATGAGGAGAGGGAGAAGGAGAGCGAGAGGAGACGGGAGAAGAAGGAGAGGAAGAAGAGGGGGGAGGGAGGGAGGGAGGAGAGGAGCAGGGGGTGAGTGAGAATTTGGCCGCACAAGGTACCAGCACCGAGATGTAGAAAAATGTTCATAGCATGCATGGGGGAAGAGAGGGATATAGGCAGAGCATTTCAAAGCAGTTTCCATGGTCTTTTGAGTGATGAAATGCAGCAGTGCCTCCGTCACTTTTGTTCCTTATAGGAAAGTCGATATAGAGGTATGAACATTACCATTATCAAGTATGAGGAGTGAAAGTGACGTCTAACTGCGCAGGGGGGGCGTCGAGAATGGTTTTATCATCACCGAATCGTATTCTCCTTGTCTTCGTCTTGGCCATATCTGTTTGTGAAAGTTTGAGGTGTCCTGACTCACCCTCTACCTTTATATCATCTTCTCTCTGCTTCTTACCCTCCTCCCACTACCCTTCGTGCTCCTTTTACGTCCATTTGACTTGATCTCTAGGACGCCGTTCGTCTTGTACAAGTCCAAGAGCGGCAGCCTTGCATCGCCCATCTCACCGCGTTACATCCTTCGAGCCCGAGGGCGAGAGCCTGTCGGTGCTTGCAGATGCAGCTTCGACACATTCTTGGATCAGGTCTTGATGCTTCATCACAACCAATCTTCATGCCGATGTCATGCCTGCCCTCCCTTCCCTCTCTCCCTCAGCCTCTTCCTCCCTCGTTTTCTCTCCTGCTCCAGGGGCTGGCTCTATCCTTTCTTTCTGGCATCCAAACAATGTATTGACCACTGGCTGTGGCAGGGGGTTGAATTCATCGACACGTCCAACCCATCGGTGAGTAGCTGGGGAAGATCCTGATGATGCGTGTAGCATTAGAGATATCTGAGCTGATGCATAAATCGATGCCGATGCTGATGCTGGTGGGAATGAGGTGCTGACACTACCTCAGCCTGTTGGCGATATGCTGCAGATAGATGTGATGGCCACCAAGCTCTCCAGGACTGGGCAGACGACAGAATGGATTGGAGCGGAGCCAAGGTGAGCAAAGGAAACTGCAAGCCCGACAATCAGACTAATTTGTATTTCTCAAGGACAACACGGGGAATTTACTGGAAGCGAATGTGTGAGATGGTGCATCGAGAGAAAGTAGCGGTAATAGCGCCAAGATGATCTCTGAGGTGTTGAACTAAAAGATTCGCCTCAAAGGCTATCAAACAAGCTGACTCGACTGAGAAGAACGTGGATCATGTGAGAGAGGCGAGGACAGGAGTTCCTCGTTGACGGTAGTGTTGTGTCCGCAGGATTCTTCTGGGGTTCATCAAGTCTTGAACATGTACACGGGGATAGCTCCGGACGATCGCGTGAGTGTTGGTTCAAACTCGCTCAACGTGATTCAGCTGGCTGAGTTGTCACTGTTCTCCTTTGGCAAGGTAAGGGCGACCAGGCACAGTCTCTCTCCATCTGTTTCGCTGACTTGTTGCAGGTTCTGCTTCCTGGCATGGATTTGCCGCTTCAGATTCACTCTGACAATCTCAATGGCAAGAGAATGTTCGATCAGGTAGGGGAAGAGCACAACCTTGATGGCTAGATGACCGCATGCAGATTCCAGCTGGCAATGGACTCTTTGGCGTCGTCACCAAGAATGAAACCTTGTACACACTCGCCACAGCGCTTCAGCTCTCTGACAAGGGCGCAGGAAGAGGGGGAGCATCTCAAGAGTGGGCTGTGAAGCCGTGCTACAGGTGTCGTTGCTTCTCCTTCCTGCTGCGCGGTTGCGTCACTCGCAGAACAGGACAAGTGGGTGACAGACGATGGGAGGTACATCCTCGAGACCAAAGGTGCTGGCGTCGCCTCTTATGCCTTGGAGCTGATTTGCACAACAGGCAGGAGGCCCTTCCGCATCGTGGAGATCGTGCAGGTGACGATTTTGTCCATCCCGTGGCTCGCTGAGCGAACTACGTCAGTGGAATCCATACCCCATCGCTATCGTTCAGATCCTTCGCGATCCCGAAGTCATGGAGGACTCGGGTGGTTGATCTCCTCCTGCGCTGCTGGCTCATTCTTTCAGCAGACATGGACAAGAAGATCGGCTCGCTGGAGCTGCAGAGGTTTCGAGCCCCTCCCGTCAGGCACTCCCGCTGACTTGCCGTCCAACAGCTGGCGATCTCTCAACGACCTGGTGTGGCTGGCTACAGAGGTCTTCGACAAGGTACGATATCCACGTGCAGCGTTGCTGATCTCTAAGACTTGGCCTCTCCACGAAGAGATCCTGGCTTCCGCTCCTGATGAACTTGGACGGCAAACAACATCCGCTGGTGCTGGAGAGAGCTCACGACCACCTCTTCCATGATGTCCCCTTCTCTCTGATATTTCTAATTTCTAATGTCTCCTCGTCGATGGTCTCTGATGTCTTCTTGTACACAGGGAAAGATGAAACAGAATGCACCAGGCAGTGCGGAGAAGATCGACGACTGGCACCGACGGTCGTTCAATCCTCCCTCAGTGTCAGAATTGACAGGTCCCGCTTTACAGGGTGACATTCAGCTGGGACATGGTAAGAGTCCTACAGAAGGTGGGCTGAGAGATGAAGAGGACGCGGGGTTGATCCTGAGCGTCAGGGGATTCCTGGGCTGTGGGATATTGACTTCACCGGCCAACGGCTGACGGACCTGGTTCAAGAGGAGGGGGAGGGGGAGGAAGCTGATGGTGTGCGGTGACTGCAGGAGGCGTTGAAGATGCTGCAAGACCTGAACATTCACGAGCGTTTCAAGACTTCCTGCGTCTCCCTCGAGGACGCACGCGAGGTCTTGCGGCAGGTGCTCGAGGTTCGATGCCTTACAAGGGTCTGACTGGCCGATGCGAATCAGCACCGGAGGTTAAAAGACATCATGGAGAAGCGTGAGGTGAGGACTTGCTCGCGGCGAGCTCGCTCTCTCACTCCTCTCGTCCTGCAGGACCTTGATTCTCCGAGAGGCTCCTGAAGGCCTGGGGGAGGTAGACGAGACCAGCCGCCGCTCCTCCTTCAACTGCATCACCTGCCGCAAGATGTCCACATCAACAAGAGCTATCAGAGTCGTTGTGCTCTCGTCCTGGGGTCTAGTGCGAGGATGAGACGACGGCAATGGATGTGCTCGCAGCAGTAGAGTGAAGGTGGTCATGAGGGTGCGGAGGCGCAGGATGCGGCATGAGGAGGGGAGAACTACAGTAGAAGGATGTGAGCAAGTCGATGAAAGCGAGCCAGGACGTCGCAGAGGTCAGACAACTAGCACAAGAAGACTGGAAGTTTGCTATTATAATCAAAACCACCATACGCAGCGTTCTTGCGAGATAGAACACTTCTTCCTCGTCCTTCTCCTTCTCCTCCTTCTTCTCTCCTCTCCCTACTTCTCTTCTCCTTCTTCTCTCCTCTCCCTACTTCTCTTCTCCTTCTCTCCCATCTTCCCGCTCTCCTCTCTCCCTCCCTTCTCCTTTCGCTTCTCTTCTGACCCTCAACTACAGCAACAAGTCGGTTTTAGATTCGATTGCTACAGCCACCCCCACCCCCACCCATTCTTCTACACCCCTCCTTTTTCCTCACCCCCTCTCTTCTCCCCCTTTTATCTCTGCTTTACCACCCCTCCTATGATACTTGCTACGCTAGCTTGTTCCCCCTACCCCCATCATATAAGTTTCTACCCCCTGGTATCCGAAGAGTTTTCCAGCCACATCTTTGACCATGCTCTTCCTGTGGAGCGAGTGCGATATCTCCTCCTCCTCCTCGTCCTCGTCCTCCTCCTGCTCCTCCTGCTCCTCCTCCTCCTCTTGCCCAACTTCCCTCCCTCTTCCTCTTCCTCTTCATTATCTTCTTCTCCTTCATCATCATCACCACCACCATCAGAATTCCTGCTCTCCTGCACCCTTCAGTTGCTCGTTTTCTTTCCTTCTCACTTCTCTTCCTCTCCTGTCCTACCGCATTCGTGTCACACCTCATCCTGTTCCTGGTCTTGCACTTGCTTCTTTCCCTGTATGCTTTCCTCCTCTAGCTAACATGTATTATGACTAACTTGTACACTTACTAACATGTATACTTGCTGTTATGTATACTTGCTGATGTTGATGGGCAGGTCTTGCAACAAGTTAGAGGTGTGAACGGCATCCATGAACTAATTCAATCCTTGAGAACACAAGCTGAAACCCGATGATTCCCTACGGAGGCCACGTGTACTACCAGCAGCCTCTTCAATCGCCCATGTTGGCCTATGGAGGTGCTGCAGGTGCGGCAAAGTGATCCTCTCATCAAGCATGCACTGACTTCTTCCGCAGTCTATCATCAACCGAACAACCTGCCTGCTAACATGCCTTGCATGCCCGTTGCTGCCAAGAACCAAGATGACTTCATGGCGGGAACAGAAAAAGCCGTGAGAAAGGACTATGACCCGGTGGCAAAGAGATGGAAACGAAGCGCCGTGGTGCTCAAGATTGATCCGGTTGCTTTCGCGCAGGGGTCGTTGAGGAGAGCATACAAGATGCGAGACCTCACGCTCGGAGAGACGGACAACGAGTTTGTCGCCAAGATGTCCATCAACCCGCAAGAGAATCGCCAGACCTACTTCGACGATGTGGCGATGCAGATGGAGGCGAAGATGTGGGCTGAGCGGTTCAACAGCAAGACTGGTCTGCATGTGGACTTCCTGGTCGCTTATGTAGCTGAGCTGGTGGAGAGGACTGGGAGGCCGCTGATAGGGGTGGAGAAGCTTGTGATGGGGAACTACGTCAAGTACAACAACAACTGGGACTGGAACGACGACAGGAGGAACACGCCTCAAGCCTTCAGTCACTTCACCTGGGAAGAGTCCGGCAAGTCCATCCTCGTCTGCGACCTGCAGGGGGTGGGGGACCTGTGGACTGACCCGCAGATTCACTCGAGGGACGGGAAGGGATACGGGAAGGGCAACATGGGCATGCGAGGCATCGCCGCCTTCCTCAACAACCATCGCTGCAACGCGATATGCATGGCCCTCAAGCTCCCCATGGTCGGCAAAGCGCCGAAGCAGAACAACGACGGGACCGTGATGCCGCCGATGAAGGCTGGGATGCAGTCGGGGCTGACCAACACTCAGTTCAAGGCGAAGATGGTGCAGGCGGAGCTCAAGAAACCCAAGGAGGAAGGGGCCAGGACTGACCACGACAGGATAGCAATCATCGTGTTGGGAGCAGGAGGGCTGAACGTGTCGGAGACTTCCCCCGACTGCAGCGTCACCATCCTCTGCGGACATCGAGTCTGCGAGACCAAAGTCATCTACGACAACCGAGAGCCCGTGTGGAATGAAAAGTTCCAGCTGGACCTGCCGGCCGACGGCAGCGTCAACACGCTAGAGGCCGTCCTCTTCATCCGCGAGGAGGAGGACCCGACGATGGTTGGCTTCGCTCGGATCGAGTTCGACAAGCTCGAGGATCAAGCGGGCTTCGACGAGAGACAGTGGCCCTTGAGAGCAGCTGGAGGTGCTCAGGTCGGCTGGTTGAAGCTGAAAATCCTTCGCTTCCGCTCCAAGAAGCCAGCGGCAAGCGCACCTGACGCAGCTCTTGGACCTCCTCCTCCTCCCCCTCTCCCTCTCGCGGGGCCGAACAAGGAAGAGGGACCGGGGAACGTGAGGGATCTGCTGCAGGAGGCGCAGGGGATCAAGGTGATGGTGAAGCAGGGCCGAGGCTTCCGCGAGCTCGAGGGGCTCCCGGTCCAGGTCCTCGTGCGGCTCAACCAGTGCCAGGCGGCCACCAAGGCTCAACCCGGAGCCCAGCTGATGCACTGGAACCAGAAGATCGCCTTCCCTCCCGGCCCGGCAGACGAGGCGGTCAGGCTGTGGGTCATCCCTGACGTCGCCTCGCCGCACGTGCGCTTCCAGGGCCACATCCCGATGCGGAGCATCAACTTTGACGCCTCAGGTCACGCGGGAAACGTGGTCGTGCCGATGAAGCAGCACCAGCCCGTCGCAGGTGAAGGAGAAGCTGTTGGTTGACCGCCTGACTCGTGAGACAGGGGAAGTGGAGGAAGTGGCGGACGACATGCAGGGGCTGCTCTCTGACTGCCCTTGCGTCGAGCTCGAGATGTGGATCATCACGAAACCAGGAAGGAAGAGCAACGCAGGGGGGACAGTGTCGTGCTAGCGGCATACACTGAATCATATTAGCTTGAATAAAGAATATCAACAAGTGAAGAAGCTCGTCGGCTGGTGAGGTGCCGGGGTAATTCTGGTTGTGATCAGAAGCTGAGGGGGGAGGAAGAAGGATCTCTAGGCCCCAAGCGCCTCATGACCTTCTGACTCTCCTCGAGCACGAGCCAGAAGATGACACCTGCACACCCGTCAGCTCCACTCCAGCTGCCCCTCACCTCACGGCCCAGTCACACCTCCGACAGTCATCCACAGAACGCGAGCGAGGCAGCCAGCCATGAGGCCGTGGTATCCCTCCTCCGAGATGAGCTGCAGCAGCGCTCCCACCGCTCCTCCTCCGTACTTCCTCTGCTCCTCTCCCGCCTGGCTCATCAGCCTCGCCTGTCACGAGACCGTCAGCTCCGGCTCGTCTCGCCTGCATTGCGTCACCTTGATCACGTCGAAGGGGTTGGTGATGGCGCTCGCGATCCCGTCGGCGACAGCAGCAACGATGCAGGTCTCCCACACGTGCAGCTCCTTCCCCCGCGACACGCGCCGTGTCCACAAGGAGCGAAGTCGCTCGTACAGCATCATCTCCACCACGTTGAAGGGAAACTCCACCAGCGCCAGCCCCCAGTAGCCCGTGAAGAAGCCCCGCACTCCCTCCTTGCCATACAGCCGGCTCACTGCTGCCCGCGGCGACTCGTCAAACCCCGTCATGCAGCGCGTCTTGACGACTTCGCAAGGCACGCGCACGAAGAACATGCTGAAGGTGCCGAGCTGAGAGCCGGGGCGTGAGGGAAGGACAAGAGAGAAGGAGAGGTCACCAGACAAGCGATCAGCGTCGCAAGAGACTCGTTCTCCTTCCCCGCCCTAAAGCCAGAGAGTCAGCACTAGACGAGGAGGGGGAGGCAGCACAAGAAGGGGCACATACCGTTGCTCCACAAACTCCTTGCAAGGTTCATACACGGCGAAGTACAACCCATAGTAGATTGGGCTGCAGAGCAACGCGAGCGACGAGCCGGCAAAGAGCACCTGAGGGGTCTCAACCGCTGACGAGGAGGAGCGACAGCACCTGAAGACTCTCGCTGGGCTTGTCCAGGGTGAGGCCGTCGAGCCCCACCGTCTGCATCCTCGTCTTGATCATCTCAATCGGGTACATGACCATGTCCGTGACGGCACCCGCCAGACCCCCCGAGATCGCCCCGACAAGAGCCAGACTGCTGTACTCTACCAGCCCAAAGCTGTGAGCTCGCTTAGTCACTACCGCATGCTTCATCTGCGATCGCAAATGGACGGGGATCTTCTTCTTGGTCGATCCGGCAGCTTCGAAGCTGTGAGGGAGAGCTTGGTTGATCGGCAGCAAGAAGATCAACCAGGTCAAGCATAAGATCCCAAACCTGACAACTCAACGATCAAGAGACTTAAAAAAATCTCCGTGAGCACTGTCTTCTATATAGGACCACTCCCTCTCCCTCCCTCTCCCTCCTCTCCTCCCTCCCTCCTCTCCCTCCCTCTCCCTCCTCTCCTCCCTCTCTTCTTCCCCTCTCTCCTCTTCTCTCTCCCTCTCCTCCCTCTTCTCTCTCTCTTCCTCCCTCTCTCACCTCACGCATCTCGCCATGGCTTCCCGGCCTCCATGCCTCACCGACATGCCACACGGGGGCCGCGACAAACAAGGGTGACGAGTCCGCCTCAGATGTTGTGTGTAGACGTTGCAAGCTGCCGAGTCTCCGAGAGAAGTTCAGTAACTGCCCGGGCCCGGCAACGAAGCCGGACGGGCCCGCCGACGTCAGGGTCAAGGAGGGGATGAGGCGCACGAGGCGATAACCATGCCGAAGCGACCGGGCGAGGAAAGAAGCGATGCGTTCATGGCGGTAAGAAGAGCAAAGGAGGGGAGAGAAGAGAGAGAGGGAGAAAAAGAAGAGAACAAGAGAGGAGAGGGAAAGAGAAGAGAAGAGAAGAAAGGAAGAAGCGGGGTGAGTGGTAGGAAAAGGATGATGATGATTCAAAACAGAAGCAGAAAGACATAAGGAGAAGGAGAAGAAGAAAGGCGGGTACGCATGGCTGAAAAGGCTTTGAAATCAATTGGAAAGCAGAAAAGAAGCAGAAAAGTTGCGGATGGTGTGCGGTCTCAGGGTAGGAGGGAGTCAGCCGTGACTCAATGTTCAAAGATCGAAGTGAAGGACGTTGAATGTGCTGGCGCAGGAGGTTCGAGGCCTCAACGACCAATTCTTCAAATGGGCTTCACGACAGCACAGCAGCAGCAGTGACAAGCTGTGGGACGCTGGTCTACGGTCTGAGCTCATCACTTGCCTCCTCCTCTTCCTCATGCTCTGCTCGCAGTGACTACCTGAGATACGCTGACAAGCTCAGGAGCGACTTTTCCGACGTTCTGGCAGGAGCTGGGCAGAACGACTCAGTGCTCGAAGGTGAGCAAGCGCGGGGAGGGGCCAGAGGTGACCAGGCTGGCAGGAGGGAACATCTTCGTCTTCGGTCAGGGCGACAACGCGCAGGTGAGTAGCTGCTGAGTTGTCGCGCGCTCCTCCCCCTGACCCGCGTGCCGGCCCTGCTGCAGCTGGGACTAGGTGAGGACGTGATCGAAGCTCCGACCGCGACGCTTCTGCCGATGGCGGGGGTGCGGGTGACGCAGGTATGGAGCTGGCGAGGGCTACCGGAGCTCATGTCCTCTCCCCTGCTCGCCTCAGATCGCCTGCGGTGGGATGCACACGCTCGCGCTGTGCGAAGGAGGCGCAGTGTACAGCTGGGGAGTGAACGACGAAGGTGAAGGAGCAGGACAGGAGCTGGGGACTGACGCAGCTCAGGCGCCCTTGGAAGGGAAGCTAGAGGAGGTCAACTTGCGCTCACAGAAGGAGAAACGCAGGTGACAGCCCTCAACACTCAACAATCCTTGTCCTCCCTCCCCTCCCCCATCTCCTCCTCTCTTCTCTCCCCTCCTCCCTCTCCTCCCCCATCTCCTCCTCTCTTCCCTTCCCCTCTCTTTTCTCCTCTCCTCTCAGTTGCCGCAGGGAAGCGAGTCCATCCCAGAGATGGTGGAGTTTCCCAACCGGGAGAAGATGACGGCAGTGAGTGCGGGAGACTCGCACAGGTCGACTGTCTCCTCTCGTTGAGCTCAGGTCTCAAGTCCTTCTAGTGTCGCCCTCTCCTCCAACGGGACGATCTTCGCTTGGGGAATCTTCCGGTGACTCTTCTTTCTTCCTCTTCTCTCCTCCCCTCCTCCCCGCTGTCTCTCACTTCCGTCGCCAGCGACTCGTCGGGCAAGTTTGGCTTCAGCCCGACAGTTCAGACGCAGACAACTCCCCAGCAAGTTGCACTCGGTGAGCATGACAACACGTGCGGGCCTGCCTCACTTTCCGCAGGCCTCGGAGAGAAATGCATCGAGATCGCCTCCGGCAATGACCACGTCCTCGCCCTCACCCGTGAGTAACCTCCCCACCCCACCCCTTCCCCCGCCTCTCCTCCCCTCCCTCCCTCCCT